CGTTGGTCGTATAACCAAGAGCGTTCCACCTGTGAATATATGCAGCCTCCGTTCACAAGCAAAGTCCGCTGACCACGGGCAGGTTGATGGAAAATCAGAACTAACATGAGATCTGTGGTAGGTTGTACCCACCGACATTTTGACTGGTGCCCGAGACAGTTTATCAGTAATATACCACTTCGATCTTCCGCACAGATACTCGCCGGTTGCATCTCGTCAGAATGACTGCGCGATGTGTTTCTACCTGCACTCCTGCGATAAATCTAAAGTAGCTAAGTGCAGTAGAGCACGTCGTCTGTAGAGCCTCCAGTAAATGCGAAGACCCTGAAATGGATGTACAGGAAGCAGACACCCATGAACTGAGTTTTACAGTAGCAATATCCAATTTTTTAGCGTTTCTGGCGAAAACAGCTCAGCATTTGAGGAGTTTTTTCCATTTCTTTGGTTGTCTCTTACGAACTGGCGATAAATGCAGAGTTTGCAACTATTAGCTTGTTAGTCCCATATTCGTCCTGAAATGTAAGTTTCTAAACGCTGCCCTTACTGTTGACAAATATCATTTAACTCCTTCAAAAATTCAGTAAAAAGGGAACTCTAATCTCAATACAAAGGCTTGTAGAACTGTCAATGAGAGCAAGATCACTTTTCTGCGGGAAAACAAAGAGATAGGGCGTACCGGTTACGGCTGACAAGAAATGATCCAGTGAATTTACGTAGCTAGCCGCGTAACGCTGTGGGAAAGAGTTTCGAATGGGACCTTGGCAGGTGGTCCCTGGAGCGTTGAAGACGACACTTTCTTCTTGTTGGTTTTCCGAGCGCATCATTCCACCATCACCCAGTACTTCAACCCGCTGATCGTAACTGTGCATTGAGGGAGAAAAACAGGCAAGAAAACACATAAATGAAGGATTATCCACTCAGTTGTTATTTTAATTGCGGACTACCTAAGGAGTGCAATAAAAATTTCATGTAGGTGCATTTGAGAAAAACAGCAACCACTGTGCAGCTAATTGTTATGACCGATTCCCCTAAAGAATCCAGATTTCGATTTAGGACAAAGAATGCTTTTTTCACAGTCAACACGACAAGCCTTATTGGAGGAAACTAATTCAGATCTTCTCGAAGAAGAGCACAAGGTGAGAAATAAGAGACGGGGGAAGGATTTACACTTCCCACAGTCAGTGAGGCGACAGCAGTAACTATCCGAAAGAACCTGGTATGACAGCTAGCACGCGCGCGATCTGGGCGTAAAGCGGACACAGGCGTTGAGAAAAATCATCAGATGGTCGTTCCATATGTCTCCTGAGAGGGTTTAGACCACGATCCTGTTCGACAATTCATAGTCTATCCTACGCCGCCTCTTCTTCAAAGCTCGCTCGACAAAAAGAGGAGGGTTTCCATGCATGAAATCAAAGCTACTTTGCTATAGGTAAAATACAAGGGCCACATTCTTGTCCACCTCAAATGGGAAGGTGTTGTTGTCGGATCTAAAATTGGGGCCTCTGGCGTCGTTTATCAAGTGCCATGTCACGACTGCTCTTGCCATTATATAGGGCAGACCGGACGACGACTTAGTTCGCGAATAACAGAGCACAAATGGGTAGTGTGGAAACCCGACCCACTGTCCCAGTTCGCTAACCACACTCTGTAAGAAGGCCACGAATTCGACTTCATAGGCACGCGCGTAATGGCACGAGCCAGTAATTAGACGGGGCGAGAACTACTGAAGGCCTGGATGTTGGACTTCAACTCGACCAACAGGCATGTGGATATACCGCCCTGCTATTTTTTCCTTCGTTCT